GAAAAGAAAAAAGTGAAACTGTCAAGAACACATAACAAAAAATCATACCAGTTTGATATCCCTTATTACACTGCATATTGAGAAAGATTTTCCCAGATTGCGTAGCGAAGGACTAGTTAACTGGCCTGAAAGAAAGTTTTCCATTTTACTCGAAAAAGTGAACACACAACCTTCGTGTCTCTATGGTAATGGGTTGCCCTTTTTTGGGGTGGTCTGTCCTCCACCTGCACGAGAAGGAACAAAAGCCTTGATCTTTTACTTTCTGCAATTATAGGTAGGAAAGCAGCAGCAGCTTAGGGGCAGCGTGTAGCTTGCAAAAACCCTCACCAAAGTAAACGAATTTTCATATATATATATATATATGGTGGCGTATTCGGTGCACCCACTTTTTTGGGTGCACTCAGTGCACCCGCCTCATAATTGCCATTCTAACCATGCGATTCATGTCAAAACGGTATCAATTGTTGCTTATGATATTATGAACAAGAAGCACATGAATTTGAAAAAAATTCATTCAAAATTTACTTTAATTTGAAGGATTTAGGATTTAGGGATTTAGGGTTAGGGTTTAGGTTTACAATTTGGGATTTTGGATTGGGATTCAAAATTGAAGGTTAAGGGGTTAGGGTAATTGATTGATTTGTTATGATTCTATGTCATATCATCATATTAGATTGAGAGTACTAATTAAAGTTCAAAATTTGATGTAATATGAACACTTTTAGAGTGGGTGCACTGAGTGCACCCAAAAAAGTGAGTGCGCCGAAGTAGCCACCTATATATATATATATATCATATCTTGGGTAATCATGAACAGCCCTTAAAGGAAGTAATCGATGCCAGGAAATGCCATAGGAATCACTACATTGAATCACCATAATGAATCTGCAAACTGGGGCAAACTAATAATTCATAGGGAACTTGCTCAAACAGTTAAATGATGATTCTGTTAGCAGCCGAATAGTTCTGCAAAGCTCAATAATGGCCACTCGGTCGTATTATTTGCAAGTGGTCCATCTAATGAATCCACTAAGTTAGGGAGGATAGGGAAAGATTGGACACTTTGAGATGATTAATCATGCAGATTTTGATGTCATTCTATATTCTATCTCAACAGTGAAAAAAGGTCGAACTCATGACTGGTATGCAGTAAGGGACAAGTAAAATAGGTGGACGGCATTATTGCCAATTTTGACAGATACGCGAACATGAGAAAGAAAAGGAAAAAAGCTTAAAACTTTGCTTATCAAACGCTAGTGATTGATGAAATTGAGAAAGAAAAAACTACCTCCTAGCGCTCTCAGTCTTCACTAGACAAAGAGTACGTACAAATTTGTCAAGGAATATGCTTTAATTAACATGAAAATGAACACAACCCACAATAATTAATCAGTTGTAGGGCCGCACCTAATCACCGTTATATTGGGGGGAGAGATGCATCCTTGATCCCAAGAGAATCCTCTTCAAGCTCTGTGCAGCAGAAAGAACCCTGTAGTCTCCATTCCTCAAATCCTCCCCTGAAAACAAAAGAAAGCCTCTTTAGCATCGAGCCGGTCAATCATGAAGCCAACCAAGCTCAGTCTTCGATTGGTGGCTGCATTCATTTGCTTCTGCGCCGCTTACGTGGCAGCAGAAGCAAGAATTCAGAACTCTGCAGCTAAGAAGACGTACATAATCCACATGGACAAATCCACCATGCCCGAAACCTTCGACGACGACCACCACGAACAATGGTATGGTTCATCCCTCAAAACAGCCTCAGAATCAGCCGACATGCTCTACACTTACAGCACACTCATCCACGGATTCTCCACGAGGCTCTCAGCAGAGGAAGCAGAGTCGCTCGAGAAACAGCCCGGAGTGCTCTCCGTCACGCCCGAAACCATCTATGAGCTCCACACGACTCGAACCCCGAAATTCCTCGGGCTCGAACAGAGCGAAGCTCTCCCTCTCCTCCTGGCCTCAGAATCGGTGAGCGAGGTGATCGTTGGAGTGCTCGACACCGGAGCGTGGCCTGAACTCGAGAGCTTCAACGACAAGGGGCTCGGCCCCGTTCCCAGCAGCTGGAAAGGAACCTGCGAAGTAGGGAAGAACTTCGACTCGACGAAATGTAACAAGAAATTAATCGGAGCGAGGTATTTTTTGAAAGGGTACGAAGCATCCTTCGGACCTGTTGATGAAACCGTGGAATCCAAGTCACCGAGAGACGACGACGGCCACGGAAGCCACACGTCGACCACCACGGCCGGTTCGGTCGTGTCCGGAGCCAACCTGTTCGGTTTCGCGTCCGGTTCGGCTCGCGGGATGGCCCCGCTGGCTCGGGTGGCCATCTACAAAGTGTGCTGGCTCGGCGGGTGCTTCGGGTCGGATATCTTGGCCGCCATGGAGAAAGCCGTGGAAGACGGCGTCCACGTGATGTCCATGTCGATCGGCGGCGGGGTATCGGATTACTACAGGGACACGGTAGCGATCGGAGCTTTCTCTGCTGCTGCTGGCGGGGTCTTCGTCTCATGCTCTGCGGGGAACGGAGGACCGAGTCAGGGCAGTCTGTCGAACGTCGCCCCCTGGATAACCACCGTGGGAGCTGGCACACTGGACCGGAGCTTCCCCGCTTACGTCAGCCTGGGAAACGGGAGGAACTTCACCGGGACGTCGCTCTACAGCGGGAAGCCGCTGACGAACATGCTGGTCCCGTTGGTAAACGCGGTCAACGCGAGCGATGATCCATCGTCGTCGGGGAATTTGTGCTTGTCGGACAGTTTGGTGGCGGAGAAGGTCGCCGGGAAGATTGTGATTTGTGACCGTGGAGGGAGCAGCAGAGTTCAGAAGGGTCTGGAGGTGAAGAGAGCCGGCGGGGTAGGAATGATTCTGGCGAACACAGAGTTGAACGGTGAGGAGCTGGTTGCTGACGCCCACCTCCTGCCATCATCCGCCGTGGGGGAGAAATCCGGCGACGAGATCAAAGCCTACGCTGCTTCCGATCCCAAGGCCACGGCCACGATCGTCTCCGGCGGGACGCACGTTGGGGTCGAGCCGTCTCCGGTGGTGGCAGCGTTCAGCTCCAGAGGTCCCAACCTGGTGACTCCGGAGATCCTGAAGCCTGATGTAATAGGGCCAGGGGTTAACATCCTGGCCGGTTGGACTGGCGCGATCGGTCCGTCCGGACTGGCCAACGACACGAGGAATGTGAGCTTCAACATCATTTCAGGAACTTCCATGTCTTGCCCACATGTGAGCGGCCTGGCCGCTCTGATCAAGGCAGCTCACCAGGACTGGAGCCCTGCAGCCATCCGGTCCGCCCTCATGACCACAGCCTACACCGCTTACAAAACCGGATCGACCATCCAGGACCTGGCCACGGGTCGAGCGGCCACGCCATTCGATTATGGAGCTGGACATGTGAACCCGATTGCAGCCCTCGATCCCGGCCTGGTCTACGATGCGACGGCAGAGGACTATTTCGCTTTCCTCTGTGCTCTGAACTACACGTCGGAGCTGATCAAGAGGGCGACGAACAAAGCATTTACTTGCGACTCAAGCAAGAAGTACAGCCTGGGCGATCTGAACTACCCGTCTTTCTCCCTCGCCCTCGACACAGCGTCGGGCATAGGAGGTGGAAGTGGGGGTGCGGCTACTGTGGTCAAGTACAGCCGGACGTTGACCAATGTGGGGTCTCCGGGGACGTACAAGGTGGAATTGGCTTCGGAGACTCGGGCCGTGAAGATGTCAGTTGAGCCCTCGACCCTGACCTTCGGCCAAGAGAAGGAGAAGAAGAGTTACACGGTGACGTTTACTGCAACCTCGATGCCTTCAGGGACAACCAGCTTTGCTCATCTGGAATGGTCGGATGGAAAGCATGTCGTTCACAGTCCAATAGCTTTCAGCTGGGTATAAGCAAAATGATATTCAGGGTGATAACGAATAAGTACAAATATTACTGTTCATAGGGAGTGCTAAGTGCCAGAATGTTTACTTGTTAAGAATTTCCCTTCACCATTCCATCCCTTCTTGTTGTGTTTGTAGTTTCCTGTGCGAGACTACTAGGACAGAGAAGACAGGTTTTCAATAATTGTACAGAAAACCCATAATAGTAATCACATGTGCAAATCAAGGTGCGTCTGTTATTGTGCCTTGTTAACAGAACAAGCCTGTAATGGAATGCCTGATGGCTGATAAACAAGAGCCACCGAATAACCTCATCAAGTTGGCAATTGGGCAAAGCCGCTTCCCAATTGCAGCAGCCCACAAGCAAGTTCAAAGGGCTACAGCCACTTCATTTCAACTAATAAAGTGGAAATGACATTAGGAAATGGGCTTCCATCATAGATTTGAGCAGCAATATGCTCCGTGACCAAGGAAGCACCAAGGCCTACCCTATTATGTTAGCCACACCATAGTTCTAACAGCTTATTGGCTCTTCCCACCTTTTAGTCTTCTTGGGGATCCACCTCTACACCTGAGACTAGGGTCCATTACATTTGCCAATACCAAGTGTTACAGGGAAGGTAAAAAGGTATGAGCACAGTATGTTGCGTGGGAAAGCATCTACCAAAGACAATGAAATGTGCAATGTTGCTTCAAAGATCAACGTCGAAATCCTGTATTCAACAGTTCATAAGCTCTGTGCAAGGAATTTGGTAGTGGAGTTTTCTGCTAATGAGAGAAGTGGGTTTGCATGAATGTGGATATGGAAAAAACGCAAGAATAATCAAGGATTATCTCCCTAAGACTCCACCAGATGCCAGCTAACTAATCTTACCACCAGTGAGGCATTCACTCACTGGATATTGTTAGCTAAAACACAAGCAGGTATTACAGCAAGCAATAATCGAATGTTGCGGCCGACTTTTGATTCAGTTTTTCCATAGTCGGCCTAATTCCAATTCTTATCAAGTGTCCACCTACTGATGATTCAAGACATTAGTCTAAAAATCATAACTAGGCTGATCCATGTGCAATCTCAGAGAATCAATGATCAACTAACAATCGAAGAAGACACAAGCAGAAGAAACAACCATGTTTAATTATAAGAATCTCTCAATAATTCAGATTTTAGATAATAGTCTTTCAGAATCCTGTGAAGACTGACAAACATGGAGGTAGCAGGTATCAAGCTGCCAATACTTGTGTCTCACTCCTTCCCAAACATCTTCGGCAAAGCATTCCTTAACAGGAAAGGGAATCAACTGCGTCGAGTACCCCAGATTCTCGCACTCTAGCGAAACTAAATTACAGTAAACTATATAGAAGAATGCATTGCCTATTTACCTCCACATAGCCCATTGAAGAACGAATAAATCCCCTCCAGGTCTCAACAACTTGGGCAGATGTTGATGGAACTCCCTCAAATCTTTATAATACTCCCCATAAGTGTCAAAGAAAATACCTGAAAAAGCAACTTAATCAATTCCAGTATCACACAACCCATCAATCTGCAAAAAGGACAATTGAATCCATGATTTACCATCACAAGTTCCAACGACCAAACACGATCTTGACTTTCTCGTTCTCAGCTCAGCCACTACGAACCATCCGGTCATGAACTTCTTGATGTGCCTCGACAATGGTGTGTAAAGTAGGGGTGTATTGTTGAATGGCAGTGTCCACAAGCCCCATCAAATCCTATGTCACCACCTCCTGAACATACAGTTTCTGTATGTGTTTATATTAGAGGTTTCTCCCAAGCCATCATAACACCTTTACAATGGGATTCCAACAGCTTATCTTAGCTAAAATTAACCCTATCTTCTAACAATAATCCCCATTAGAGTTGGTTGTTGTTCTCATTTGCACTCCTCGCAATAGTTCCAAAAATCAATTCAGCTTGGATTCCTGTATGCAACAAAAACAACTTAAAATGGCCAGTTCTAGCTATATTCTTACAGCCATAAACACTTTGTACAACAGATTTGATCAATGTTCAAGAAGACGCTAGGCGCTATCTAGGCGAGGAGGCACCGCCCAGCGCCCAGGCTGATTAGTCGTTGCCTAGGCGAGATTAAACGTTGAAAAAAAATATGATAGATAAGCAATATTCCACAAAAACCCAAGTCACCATATCATTATTCATCCATTCATATACACATACAATCCTTTTCTACAATCCTAAACATCCCAAGTTGCCAACCATGAGGAGGGATCTCACTGCTGGTCGATGAGGGGGAGCGGTTGGTCGAATGGAAATGAGAAATAAAACAGAGTTTGAGATTTTCACTAAAAGGCTACACTTTCCCCCTTTATTAGTTGTTCTGGGCGTCGCCCACTAGAGTGAAAACGCGACTCCGAGTGCCTAGGTGCCTAGATCAATCGCCCAGGGCTAGACGGGACGATTTCCTCCTGCCCAGCTATTAATCGCGCCTAGGCGAGAGATTAATCGTGTCTTCTTGAACACTTGATGAATTTGGACTTCCGGCAAGGGGGAAATGGCGGATTCCAACAGTCAAACATAAACAATTCAATGCGAAAGCTAGAGGAGAGAGTTAGCGAGGGACAATGTCATCAATACCAGAATTGAGGATGATATCGAATGCTTCCTGGTTGCCGGCATCCATAGCGAAGTTGCCAGCGGAGTGATTAGAAGCGGAAAGAGCGTTCCAACTTCCAAGGAGAGACAGCTTCGAGAAGGGAATTGACGACGTCGCCATGGCCATGCTTAGCAGCGTGCATCGGTCGGGGTAAGGCCATCGCAGTCGAATTCGGAGGCGTCGGCTCCGGAATCAATGAGCGCGATTTCAACTTCAACGGACCGGTCTAGTTTAACTTCATATGAAAACGGTGTCAAATCTACAACTGAAAATTGGATTAGATTGAAAACGGTTTCATCCATGATCGGATTGGATTGATAATGGTTTGATACAGTCGGGTTAAACTCGGTTTTGCCATATTTAGGGTTAATTACATGGTTGGTCACTGAGATTACAAAAAACGTTTATGTTTGGTCACTGAAAATATTTAAATCCAATCTTGGTCACTCAAATTAGTTAAATGGTTCAAGTTTGGTCACTCTCCGTCCAACTCCGTTAAATTTGTCTGATGTGGCAGTCAACACTCAAAGTTGACTGTTAACTCGGTGACGTGGCAATTAAAAAATAATAAATAAAATAAATTTTAATCTTCTACCATTTCCAACTCATTTTCACAATAAAATAAAATAAAAAAATTATTATAATCACAAATTGAAAGAGTAGCTTCCTCCTCCACCACCACATCCCTTCCCGCAACCATATCAGCTCCCAATTCCTCTGTCGCCAGCAGCTTGTGGAGGTAGGATGAATGGCAGAGTTTTTGGACGTACGCTGGGTAATAAGGGGACGGAACGAGAAAAGCATCGCCGGCGTTAGCGAGGCAGAAGGTGATGAGCTCGTTGGCTCCCGTCGCGCCGCCGCCCATCACGATCCTCTCCGGATCTAACATCACCTTCTTCCCCCTCGCTCGCTCCATAAACAGCGCATGTCTCTGTAGTGCTTTTCGTCGGAAGCAGAGGAATTGGCGAGATCCGAATGAAGCTGGATCCGGGCTGGGTCGTGGGCCGGGGCTGGGATCTTGGGGATGGAGATGTTGGACATAGACGGCTTTCTCTGCCTCAGAGTGCTGTGTTAAACGTAATCACAAGAATGCAAACGACACCAGATTTACGTGGTATCCTCAACGAATATCGTTGAGACTAATCCACGGAGAGGAGCAACCTCTCAGAGTCTATGTTATAGAGATATAGCCGAAAATCTTAGGTTACAGCAGAGGAGACTTTTCCACATATATACCCAGCCCCCTAACCCTACTTAGGCTAACGTAATTAAACACTAAACAGGTTAATTACATTTCGCTACTTGAACTTCTAACACCCTCCCTCAAATTGATGGTGCTGGCGCAACATCAATTTGTGTGCGAGAAACCAATGACGAGAAGTAGCAATAGCCTTGGTTAACAAATCTGCCGTCTGATCTTCGGAGGTAATATAGGCTAAAGCCAGCTGACCCTCAGTAACTAGTTGACGAATGTAGTGAACATGAACTTCTATATGCTTAGTGCGATCATGGAGAACGGGATTGGTGGCAATCCGAATGGCACTGGTATTATCTGCATATAGACGCATAGGAGATGGACAAGTGACTCCAAAGTCCTCTAGTAAGCGCCGAATCCACACTAGCTCAGATGTGACCTCAGACATCGAGCGATACTCTGCTTCGGTAGAAGATTTTGCCACCCGATCCTGCTTCTTACAACGCCAAGAAATAAAGGAGGACCCAAGTTTGACACACCACCCAGACGTAGAACGACGTGTGTCCAAACACCCTGCATAATCTGCATCCGCATATGCCTCAAGCACAGACTCACTAGTAGCCGGAAAGAAAAGACCAACCTCCTGAGTACCGCGAAGATAACGGAGAATCCGCATGACTGCAACGAGATGAGAGGAACGAGGAGCCGCCATAAATTGACTAACCACCTGAACAGCATACGAAATATCAGGACGAGTGTGAGTCAAGTAAATTAAACTCCCAACAATACTGCGATATGTAGACCCATCAGGTAAGAGTTCCCCATCATCCAGGCGCAGTTTCAGATGTTGTTCCATTGGCGTCGGACATGGTATACATGTATCCATGTTCGCAGTCTCAAGAAGATCCATAATATATTTCTGTTGACCAACAAACAGACCTACAGAAGAACGATGGACTTCAAGCCCCAAAAAATAGGACAGATCGCCCAATTCCTTGAGATTAAAGGCATCTCGAAGAGTTTGAGTAAGAAACTGAATTCCCTGAATATCATCTCCACTAATCACCATGTCGTCAACATAAATAAGTAACACAGTCAACCCATGAGCCGTACGACGAAGAAACAAAGATGGATCATTGTCACTCTGACGAAAGCCAGCCTGCAGAATAGTACCTTGAAATTTCTCGAACCAGGCACGGGGGGCTTGTTTCAAACCATATAACGATCGGCGAAGTAAACAGACCTTAGATTTATCTCCTTTAGCATAACCTGGAGGACATTCCATATAGATCGTCTCCTTTAAATCACCATGCAGGAACGCATTTTTGACATCCAACTGTTTCAAACTCCATCCCTTCATTGCCGCCACGGCTAGCAATGTCCGAACCGTCTGCATTTTAGCTACAGGCGCAAATGTCTCCTCATAGTCAATGCCGAATTCCTGCTTGAAACCTTGAGCCACTACACGAGCACGATATCGCTCAATCGAACCATCCGGGTGCATCTTAATTGTGTACACCCACTTGGAGCCAATCACAGACATGTCCGGACGACGATCAACAATATCCCATGTATGGGATGCCTCCAAGGCCTGAGTCTCAACAACCATGGCATCATCCCAGTTCTTGTCTCCATGAGCCTGCTTATACGTAGGTGGAACAAAAAGTGGAGAAGTAGAGTAAGTGACAAAATCAGAGAGATGCAAGGGGCGTTGACCTTTGGTGGCCCGGAGTGAGCGTTGCGGACCAGGAGCAGGATCGGGGGAGGGCGGCGGGGACTCCGAGATCGCCCGAGAAGAACCCGAGCTGGAGTGAGGGGAAGAATCTGCCCTCAATGATGGTGAGGAGTCCGACCCACTAGAGGAAGCCAAGGAACTGGTGGAAGACTCATTAGTCAATATATCCGTGGAAATGGATCCATCCACAGAGGTATCATGATCATTATCATCTGGTTGGGAAGCATCAGTAGGCTCAGCAAATAGAAGTTGAGGGCGAAGAAAATTGACCTCTTTCTTGACCGCAGAGCACTTCTCCGCATAATAAGACATATGTTCTAAGAAGGCGACATGACAAGAGATTCGAATACGCCGATTCACCACATCGTAACAGACGTACCCCTTGTGTTTGTCACTGTAACCAACAAACACACACTTCGTTGCTTTGGGACTAAGTTTGTGTCTCTCCCGCTTCGGAAGAAGCACATAACAAATACACCCAAACACACGGAGCCACGCATAGTCAGGCTTGCGCTGATACAAAGCTTCATACGGACTGCGTTGGGCGAGCACAAGGGTGAGCTGCCGGTTAATTAAGTACACCACAGTGTGTACTGCTTCAACCCAGAATGTCGTAGGAATGTTAGACTGGAAAAGAAGGGCCCGAGTTAATTCTAAGACATGTCGATGCTTTCTCTCAACCAACCCATTTTGCTGGGACACGCCAGGACAAGACTGTTGAGGAAGAATCCCGTGCGCTTTAAAAAACGCTTGCAACGGTCCAGATGAGAATTCCCCTCCAGGATCAGATCGAATCACCTTTACTGTCTTCCCAAATTGGGTTTGAATCATCTGAATAAACTCTTTAGCTATCTCAAGAAGATCTGACTTCTGACGGAGAAAATATACCCAAGTAAAACGAGTAGTCTGATCGATAAATAGAGCAAAGTATCTAAATCCCACACGAGAAGTAACAGTAGATGGACCCCACAAATCTGTGTGAACCAACTCAAATGGCTCAGAATAAGTCGTAGTACTCGAACTAAAAGAGTGCTGAGAAAGTTTTGCCTCCAAACAATGAGTACAAGGCTGAGAAGAATCAGAAACAAAAGTGCCCGACAAAAGTTTATTCTTAAACATCTCTAGTAACCGAGCCGAGTGGGGATGGCCCAAACGTCGATGCCATAAATCCCAATTTGACAAATTAACAGAAAACCCAACAGTCTGAGCTGTTTAATTACATTTTGCTACTTGAACTTCTAACATGCTGCTGCAGCTGGAAGAAGGAGAGTGAGACAGCGAAACAGAGGGAGCCTGCAACTTGCTGCTGTTATTGCTCAGCTGGGTGGTTTCTTGCTCTGTTTTGACAGTTGAATTCAAAGGGGTTTGGTGTTGTTGGAAGTGTGAGATGAAGAAATCCATGGAAGGGAAGTCGGTTAGGAGCTGTTGCCTGATGAAATCCAGAGTCCAAGCTTCTTGGTCTGCAGGGAAAGCCATCTTGATTTGATTTGTTGTTTTCAACAGTGTTGAGAAACTCTCAAGTCCTCAAGGTTGGAAGGGTTTTGAGTGGAAATTAAGGACGGAGTGGAGTGTTGAAAGTTTATATAAAGAGAGGGTTGGACATGGATGATGCTCCATTTAAATCTCCCTCTTGTGAATCATTTGGGTCGTCTTCTTTATGGAGCGAGCAGAGGAGGAAGCTACTCTTTCAATTTGTGATTATAATAGTTTTTTTATTTTTTTATTTTACTTTATTGTAAAAATGAGTTGGAAATGGTAGAAGATTAAATTCTATTTTATTTATTAATTTTTAATTGCCACGTCACCGAGTTAACGGTCAACTTTGAGGGTTGACTGCCACATCAGATAAATTTAACGGAGTTGGACGGAGAGTGACCAAACTTGAACCATTTAACTAATTTGAGTGACCAAGATTGGATTTAAATATTTTCAGTGACCAAACATGAACGTTTTTTGTAATCTCAGTGACCAACCATACAATTAACCCGCCATATTTATAATAAAATTGGACTGGGTTGAACACGATTTCAACTGTGACCAGATTGAATTGAAAATGGTCCGAATAGCTCTGGTTTAACCCAATTTTCATATGAGAATTGTGTCAGATCTACAATTGAAAATTAGAACAGCTGAAAAGAGCTTCAACCGTTATTGAATTAGATTAAAAATAATTTGATCTGGTGTTAACCTCAAAATCGAAAAGAGACCATTCCCAAATGGTCACAGTAAATCAAAATATAATAAAAATAAAATTTTATCTCATTTGTGATGAAGGTAGGGCAGAGAGCAACGAGCAGACCGTGGTGGTTGGTCGTAGCCGGTGGAAAGAAAACTAGACACTAGGGATATTGTAGGTATAATTTGTTAATGGTCCAAAAAGAAGCATTTAACCTTATGCTTAGACATGCCTAGCCATTAGGAAGTGCTAAAACTTCTCGCATAGAGGTTTCGCAATGAGTTAGAGATTCAAGATGCGGCAACGAAGTACGACGACACCTAGGTGTCGCCTATGTGTAATTAGGGAGAGTTATTATTCTATGAACTTGTGAGTTATTTTTCTTATTGCTAAGTATTAAGTAACTTATTAATCATTTGAGCTAAATTAGAAGTGTTCTAAACATCCAAAAAAATCATTATTTAGTACTAAGTAACTGCTATTTTGCTTGCACCGTCTAGACACGTATAAGCGAGATAGGTGCTAGGCAAGACCTCAACACTAGCCTTATGCCTAACACCTTCTTAAACCTTGGATTTATTCATATTAGTCAATATTGACAGTTGTTGTAGATGCAATGTACTTATATTGTAGGCAGAGAGGTCAGAACCTTAAGAAACAAGGACTAGATATCCTTATAATACAAGTTTTTTAACCATTGGAAATAAAGACTTCCTATGCTAATCAATTTGTTTTGGTTTTCTAGTTTTCACCAGACCGAGACGAGTTATACGGCTCAGTTTCTGGTTCCAGAAATCCAGACTGAATTCTCAGCCCCAGCCCTAAGTGGACTAAGCCCTGCTTTCTCTGTTTCAGACTTCGAGTCACTTGAAATCTCTCCCTCGCTGTAATTAGAAACGTTTCTTGAAGAGATGATGATTCCTCATTGATATGAGTACAGGTGGTACAATAATTTGCAGTCACAACTCAAACGTCCAACCAAAAGAAAGCCTTATAAAGTCAAACTAAAGAGATCGACGTATATAACGTTGTGTTAGTGTGTGGTATATGATTCACGATCAAACCTCTCCAACAACTCGAGTTATTGGGATCAACTGATTCTTGACATGGTATCAGAGCCTTCTGTAACCGAGAGGTCTTGTGTTCGAATCCTGATAATCCCCATTTGTTAAGCACATGGTATTTGGACCTGTGTAAACTTCAAGCCCTTGTGAGTGGCTTTCGTTTGAGGGGACGTGTTAATGTGTGGTATATGATCCACGATTAAACCTCTCCCAACAAGTCGAGTTATTGAGATTAAGTGGTGGTTAGTTCGCTTACATGGTTTGGAGGCTGGGCTGGCTAATGGCGATGTGCTGTGATTGAGTGGAAATGGTGGGTTGGACACTCAGCCAGTCAGCCTGCATATGGGTCGTTTGGAAGTTGCGTATGTTAAATCGTTGTATTGTTATGAATCATTATGATATAAATGCATGCATTGATACAATAAATGCATTTTGAAATTACATTGTTTGGTTGTTATGATTATAATTTATGAATTGATTGTTATAAAGTTACTTTATAAGTAAATGTCATATTTGTCCTCCACTTTTAATATAAAACAAAAAGAACTATGGACATAATTGGAAAAAGTAAATGTGCTCAATTATTAAACTAACAATCGCAACAATCTCAACTTTTAGTTGAGATTGTACAATCCCTCATTTTTGTTGATTATTGGTGGGATCCACACAAAACAATACATACATTGTTTTGCAACTTGACCCTTCCAAACATTGTATTGTGGACAATGCATGTATTTAACAAATACAACACTAACAATCGCAACTTCCAAACTACCCTAGTTTCCAGTTGCACAACCAACCAATCATGTCAACGATAGAATGATTACACTCATCATTCACAACTTCAATGATTTTATTCAATGCGCTACGGTCGGTCGGACGGTTTAGAAATTAATAAAATACAATAAAATTCGCCACCACAAAATAATCTTGATTTCCCTTCATCGTCATACGAACATAAATAAATAAATAACTATGGAAAATGAGGAATGTCCACCTAATCAGGGGGAGAAAACAAATGGGCAAGGTGCCAGGTTGTGGTGCAGACCTGTTATTTGTTCAGATGAAGGTCAAGATTTCAATCTGATCATATAATATCACAGAAATATAAGTTTTGTCAGTACCATAATTTTGACCAAACAAAATTTACGCGGGGTCTGATTACTGACCCGTCGGCCGTCGCTAGCCGCCACCCGTGTCTGCCCCGAGTCCAACTCTATCGAGGTGTCCTTCTCCAAGCGTCAAATTTTTTACTACTCGGGTGGAGTTACGCTACGCACACTCAGCTTGCTGGCTGGCGACTGTCAAAGGCGACTGTTTCTTTATATCTACAACAAGACAATTACAGAGGTAACATCCTTTCTGCCCTTTGAAACAGCGGCAGATCCAACACTGAAGACTGGATAGAGTACTGAGTCACATTTTGAAAAGAGGTAGGACCGTAGCTCGGCGAACAGTTAAACGATTACCGAAAAATAAAAAATTTACAAGTTCTATATTATCTTTGATCTAGAGGAGGGCTGGGCCGCAGTCCAAAGGCGGCCTCCCCGGATCCGTCGCTGCTTTGAGACTCTGACGATGCAATCTTTTATTTAACAGAATAAAGAAAATAATACATTCGACGCCTGGACTTCTGTATCTATACATTTTGAGCCCTATCACTTAACTGTCAGTTCTAATTCCCAAGTGCGTGTAAAATCATGTGAAGTTGATGTAAGAGAATCCCATGACACAAGAGTTATGAATGGTTCGCACGAATGTTTACGAGTCCATTGGATTGCTCTGTTACATTTTTTCTTATTTGGTCGTAGATCACATGAACTTGAATACATACCTTCTTTTAGAAGGGATAAGATGTCTTCTTGATGCATTCAGTCCGCTCATAAATCACATAGTAACTGCAGTTTGTTTTGTCGGATAATGGAAGGCTAATTTAAATAACTAAAGATTAAAAAATAATAATTGAGGAGTTGCATAAGGAATTTATTAAAGTTTAGTGAGTAAAGAGAAAAATGCACAAAAGACTGTAGGGGCTGGCATTTATCTACAAGACGACAATTAAAATAAAATAATGTTTAGTTAATCAATAAATAAAGTATTATTGAGTGAATTAATAATGTGGCTGGGCTGGCTGCTGCTATCAACGCCGCTTCTGTGCTTCTTTAATTTCTTCCCGAGATTTAATATTTATCTTATTAATATTAAACCCACGCGCTGTCTCAGCAAGCATTTCTCGTGCTTAATTTTTCCGCTGATTATTATTTTTTTATTAGTGAAAAAAAACTAATAATCCGTCTTTCCTGGTTCTCTCCTTTTTATTATCTTTATTACTTAAAATCCTTCCTGCCTATAAGGCTATAACCACCGGACGTTCTCTTTCCTTCCTCTCTCTCCTTTCCTTTCTTCCTGCGTTTCGGATTTTTCAGAGAATCTCTATTCGATCCCGGCGAGCTCGACGTCGAAGGGAGGCGCCGAAAGATTCGCAGGGAGGAAAAGGAGTGTCCTGTTATCCAGTGCTCATTGATTTATTCTGTCCTTCCCTTTTTGCCGGTCAAAGCCCGTCGCTGTCCCGAATTCTTACTCCCCTCCGGCGGTCCTTTTTTGTCTTTCCGGTTGAGAGGGGGGGATTATTGTCCTGTATTCGAATTCAATTCAAATGGCAACGAGTTTTGACCGATGGGAGAAGGATCCGTTCTTCCCTGCCGCGGAGGAAGTTCAGGAGTCCGCCGACAGGTATACCCTCTTCCTGATTCATTTCGTTCATCTTTTGCCCCTTTTGTTTGGTGCTAGTTTAGCTGCTCTGTACCGTTAATCGGAGAATTTTCATCTCCGGCGGGTTTTGGCGGGTTGTTGAAGGAAAAGTCCGTTTTATTTATCTACGGTTTGTCAGAAGAGATGTTTGTTCACGTTTTGCTACGTTTGATAGCGAATTCAGTCCAAGTTTCGGGCGGGTTTAGCCCAACAGTGTGAAAATGATGGTCGATTACTCCCAGGAATATCTTTGGGGATGGGGATAGCAAAGTTCAATTTCCACATTTGAGTGTTTCTACCATACGATTTTCTGAGTTTTGGTTCTGTTTTTTGTTTGTTTTCTTTGTTCTTGTTTCGGTGGAAAAGGATGGAGTCCACTTACAGAACATGGGTTCACGCCAAGAAAGACAGCTCTACTATGTGGGACGCAGAAGAACTCCGCCGGGATTTACATACAACCCTAGGCACCACCAAATGGCAGGTAACCTGCTAATTCATGCTCACTCTTCATGGGAAAGTGGATAGGGTGTCTGTTTAGGTGATGCTGGTTTCGAGACGTCTATTCTGATTTTCGAGTTTGGTTATGCAGCTGGAGGAGTTTGCTAAGGCTGTGAAATCCAGTTACATAAATAGCTCCACCGATGGTGCTAGTGAAAGGCACCGTCAATTCATTATTGCGATCGAGCATCATATTTCTAGAGTAGAGGCTTCGCTAAAGGAATTTGCCAATTCATCAGGGGATGCATCATTGCCTTGGGTGACATTGGATGAAGGTGAGCGAAATGAACTTGCTGCATTTCTCTCAGGGCCATCATCAATGTCCGGAGAAAATAGTTCTATGAGAAGTGATAGGAGTGATAAGACCGTGGAAGAAGCAGCGCCTGATGATTGTTCGAAAGAGGTTAGTCACTCGGTGGAGTGTGATTACCCAGACGCCAAAGAAGAGATGTCTTATGGGCACAGGAGGTCAGTTAGTGCAGGTGCTGATATGAGCGCTTGGACAATTCCGATTGCTGTAGATGGAATCCAACAGGATTCTTTTAAGGCAGAGTCTCAGCAACCTCCAAGGAAGATACCTAGTCTATCTGTGATTGTCAGTTCCATCGAAGCTATGCCCAAACTGAAATGGCCAAAGAATGGTGTTAGGAAGTGGAAGGCAATGGATCGTTACGAAGAATCTGATTCTATTCCATTGCATTCATCACATTTAACTAGGGTGAGTAGGAACTGGCCTAACTTTTCTATGTTGAATTTGTCTACCGGATCCTGCACTTTTATCTGTATGATCATGTCGGCACTAGTTTTGATTAAGTCTTTGTTTGGGACAGGGTATTAATTCATGCTACGAGAAAAGCAAGAGCTGTCTGGAGGGCTGTGATGAATATTATGATAAGCCACTTTATGGCTGGTATGGTGCATTACAGAGGCAACTTCAAAGATCCCAATATCAGATGCAGTATGGTCGACCCATTCAATCAGTTTTGTGGATTTTCATTCTCTTCTGCTTTATTGGTGAGTGACCCAAGACTTACTCCAGTTATTTCGTCTGTTCTTCATTTATTTTGTAATGCATGCTGCTGGGTATGCCTTCATGTTTTAAAGTAGCATGCTTGTTTTTTTTTTTAAAATAAGTGTTACGCTAATTCATTTGTGCTCTCTTAGCCTTGTATTGATTCTCAATGAACCTTTAATTATTTTATTCTGTTGAAAGATATTTATTCCCTACTGATCGGTGCTCTACAATCTATAATGAACTCGTGTGACGTGTATACACCTGGTGTACTGATATTGATAGACAACCTAGTTCTTGGAACAAATTTGTTATTGGCTCTTCCATCTAGTGGAGCTTTTAGGTTCTTCAGGATGTTGTACCAGGTTTTAAATGTTCAACTTTGTATTGTCCCTTCTCTAGTTTGATTTTGCATATGCTGAATGAGGTTTCAGGTGTTGTATGTAACTACACTTCTAGCCTAGAATGTCAATGTCATCTCTATGCTTTGCCTGCCCCAGACCCTCTGTAGCTGAGGGTCTTGAAGAAGATTTTTGACAGCTTAGTTAATCTTATTAACAATGTGAGATCATCAGGACACATGCTGTTGCAGAGCAGCAAAATAGAGACCCCTTGGCTACTTGATAGCCGGAAGAGCTGTTGTCGATGTTCTAGTTAATCCCGAAACTCGGAATAGATCCGATGATCATTTCCTGAAACAATTCTCGAGACGCTCGTTTGTTTTCGCTAGGTTCAGAAATGAATCAGCAGGGGAAATGCTTGAATTACACACTGCCAATTAAATGGTCCCTTTGAATGATTTTCTGTGTGGTACTATGTCCACTTCCAAAACAGCTGTGCTGATTCAGTTACTTATAGAGTGGTAAACCCTTTGTTTAGGAGGAAGGAAACTTATTACACTTCCATTACAATTTGTCATAAGTGACATGCATTGCCCTACCTGTCTTTTTTTCTTCTTCTTTCTCTCTTGTAGGTATTATATGTTTATATCTACCTCATAGAAGGCAATAGTTTTATGAACTTGTCACGCCAAAGACTGTAGGACTGCAGTTGTTTCTTTGGTCAAGTAACTGAATACGGATTCTAACAATGGTGATTCTTGTGTTTGCAGGTTTGATTGCATTATGTGCGCTATAAGACAGCTATAAAAATAAAACCCTTAGCGACAGATGGGTGAAAACACTGGGAATCATGGGGATGGAACAGAAGGGGGGAATTCTGATGTGAAGACGAAGGAGTCGAGGGCGTCGGACTAAGAGAGGTGACTAGCTACAGCCTACAGTTATAGCTCTAGGTTTATCTACCTGTGACTTGTTTGTATCCATATAAATATATTACAAGAGAATCGTGTCAGACCATCCCCAGCCTGCCAACTTTGTCGTACTCCATGTCTTTGTCTATGGTGATGACGAGCTGGTCTTTGTATTGTTTGTATAAAGAAAAGAAAAAAACATGCCAAGAAATGTAGTGGAGAAGGTTTGACTATTTTGGCAAGGGAAAATTATATACCGGAAAAGTTATAAAAGTTATAATCAGTAGGGATGGCAATTTACCCACCCATGGGTAATTTTGCCCAAACCCAAGTAGACCCATTTATTATGGGTAGGGTTTGGGTGATGTGTATATGGGTTTGGGTGATGTATATGGGTTTGGGTTAGATATGGATATTATCTAAATGGGTATGGGTTGGATATGGATATCCATTTACTTGAGGGGTGTTTTAACTACACATGCAAAAATTGGACTTATTTGTAAAACTTGAAAACTTTAGGTACCAAAATGTAAGACCAAAAAAATTTAGGTACCAAAACATAATTTTCCATCGATATTTTGAGGACTTATATGCAAAAAAAATTAAATTTAGGTACTAAATATGCATATCTATTAAGTTTAGGTACCAAACTGTAATTTGTATTTGGGCATGGGTACTAGAGGTGGCAATTGGATCGGATTTTTGGATTCGTGGATTGGATTGGCGGATCCATGGATCAAATGGATTGGATCCAATGGATTGGTGGATTCATGGATTGGATCAAATGGATTGGTGGATTGATCCATGAATCCAAATGACATCAAAGGCTTGGACCAAAATGTAAATTTTGAAAAGTTTAGGTACTAAAGTGTCATAATGAAAAATTTTAGGTACCAAAATGTAATTTTCCAATGATATTTTTCGTATAAAAATATAAATTTTAGGTACCAAAATGTAAAATATAAAAAATATAGGTACCAAATCGTAATTTGCCATTTGGATCCATGGATTGATCCATGAATCCACCAATCCAATTGGATTTGGATCAAATGGATTGGATTTAAATGGATTGGATTAGGTGGTTAATTTGGTGGATGGATTGGATTGGATTCATGGATTTGGATCCTAATTGCCACCTCTAATGGGTACAAATCCAAATCTATTTGTTATAAACCCAACCCAACCCAAAGTAAATGGGTATGGGTACAAACCCATCAAACTTTACCCATATCCATATATTTGGATTTCATACCACTTGGAGTGTTTATACAATATACAAGCACATCTTGTTTCCTTTTTTTTTTTTTTTTTTGGTTTTAACTTGTTTCCTTTTTCGTGGTTGGTTGCAGAGAATCAGTTGATTTTTTGGCTGACCAAAACCAGATGGGTCTTAATATAATGACCAAGAGTGTTAGGCTGTTAGCCGTCTGTGTGGTTGGCTACAGCTGCTATGCAAATCACCCCGACGAATCCAATATGATAAAATTGATATGATAAAATTGGAGGGATTCGGGGATTAATATAAACTCAAGAATTAGCTGGCCTCAATTAGCAGAAATTTGATATAGAGTGTTATCCCAAAATTGAAACTGAACCCGTCAAGGGGCTTATAAGTTTTCAATAATTGAAAACGGATATAGTTCCTTAACGGGAACGGTTTCGATTAGAACAAATTGAAAATTGAAATCCATTGCACCCTTTGTAATAGTTTTGATTAGAGTAAGGTTCGAGTTTTGTTTTGTTTTTTTTTATCGGTTTTTTTTTTATTGAAATCAAAATCTTTAAATACAAACTAATTCGGGATAAAAAATTTGGAACCTATAGAATTCTTATAAGTTCGATTTTGGTTGGTTTCAACCAAAAAATCGTACCCAATTCCCCAGCCCTAGTCCTAATAACTCCAACTAAAACCAATTTATTTTGGCTCAAACTTCATTTGATATTATGGTTTTTCAGATTTCTATATAAACCGGCACAAACAGATTATACCATCGGTCCAAATATTTCACGTAATTCGAGAGTCTAGACTCTAGACAACTTAAGCCTCAACGACCATGATTGCACAATCACAGTACAGGAGCTCATACACATGGATAGGGCCATACGGGGTATTGGCCCAATAGTATTTTGGTCTCATTCTATTTCTAAATGGGCCCACTTGTTTCCTGATCAATGAGATAACCCATCCCAGAATTTATCGCGTCTTTTAACGGGCCACGAGGCCCAATTCCCACGATTTTTTTTTTTTTTTTTGGTTACCCACGAAAATTTAACAAACGAGGAAAATGCAAATGCAAATGCTGGGAAATCAATATCATCCCCGTTGTGTACTCGTCAGTCGTCTCTTCTCAATTTCTCCAGTTCTCTTCTCGTGGCTTGGCTGGAAGTGAGCTTAACAAAACTTCGATCCTGAACCCGAATTCAGAGGTGAAGCCCCCTCCTTGCGTCCCAGCTCCAATAAAGCGAGACCGAATCAATGGTGCTTACCAATTTCGATGGCGTCGGCGTAGGATTTGGTACCGTCGATTCTCTCTGCCCCCATAGAAATGATTTCTCTTCAATTGCGTCGTTCTTTCGTCTTCGCTTCCTGGGTTAATTTCCTAAAAGAAAGTATCTAATTCTGCGTCTCTTCTTCAGGGTTTGGAGTTGGTTGTGGCTTCGGCGTTGGATGGGGGTTTGGCGGTCAGTTTCCCCCTTACCACCCTTTTCAATTTCCCCTCTCCTCGTTCTTCGGTAGCTGGATGTGTTTGAACTTCGAAGCTAGCTGACATAATTCCTTTTGTAAGAGCTTGGGGAAGAAGTTGATTCCAGTCATTGATGGGTTTTTGGGTCTGAATTACGTTGTATCTACCACTTACCCATCGACCCTTCTTTACCAATCCATCTTGCTGAATGCTGAGTAGAAAAAGAATGGAGTAGCAACTAGAACAGTTGAGCTTGTTGTTGTTCTAGACTTGCAGTTATTGGATCCGTAAGCTGTTCTACCCATGCCACGAGTTACTGCAAGTTTGAGTATCACTTCGAGTTGAGCTTTGCAGACTAGGTGAAGGGCGGATCACGATTAGGGGAATGGCTTGCCAAGATCTTGCCTTTTATAGTGATCTATTGAATGCATAGGAATTTGGAGATATCAGTGTTTGTTGTGGTATTCAGCGTATATATTTCTTTGCCTAATATCAGTTGATGGGGAGCGATGATACTCATCTTTGTCCCATCATTTGCATCTTCCTATCCGTTACTGCAACTTATCTTCTCTTCCGTCGTAAACCGAAAGCCAGCATCTCATATCCTAATCTTCAATGTCTGTCATGTTTCTTCACAGGAATGCCACTGAATATTTTGGGCCTTGGTGCAGGTAAACACAACGTGATTGTTTCATTCTTTTGTACGTTTATCTCTTTGTGCTGGCTGTAAGAGTACTTCATTCAAGCCTTTTAGCTGAAGTTTTGTTTGTCCTTTGACAGGAGGAGGATGTGGAGTTGGTCTAGGACTTGGATGGGGCTTTGGCAGTGCCTTCGGTAGTCACTACAGATCATCCAGACTCACTTTCCACGGCGTAGAGTTTGGGAAGAAAGATGAACCAAGCAACAGCAAGAGTAATGCTAACGCCCCAAGCAGCAAGCAACTTCAAAAGCACACGTCAAGTTAGAACCTCCAAGTAGCTTCTTCACATTGTACTGTAACCCTAGTTCCAAGTTATCGAGTGTGAATGGAGATAGTGCAGGTGTAAGGTGTTCTTATGTTATCAGTAAGGCAGAACTGAGAACCGTCATATTCCTGATGTTCGCGATGCACTTCTCATCTCAATCAATTGAAAGCCACATTGTTTGTGTATCACTGTTATCAATCAATCCCCAAGCTTTGAATTAACAAATTGATAGAATGTTTTTACAAACAGAAATTTCTTATTTAGAAACTAGGGATCAAGATAAGTGAAACAGAAAGAAAACCTCCAGGTATCAAACAGAGTACAAACAACAATACATTCCAAGCTCGATCAAAAGCCATCACGAGAACCTGCAAGTTGGTTCAGGGCACAATCTTGTAACCCTTCACTTTATCAATCCAGGAAATGAACGAGCTCTTTGAATTCCTGAACCCCAAGAACCCATGCTCCTTGCTCTTGTTCATGCTCGCAAGAACACCCTCCACACCACATATCATATCCACAAACCACCAATTCCCAACTTCCTCCAGCCTCGTCGGCTCGAGCTGATTCTGCTTCACAATCTCATCCCAAACCGGCCCTTTCTCCTTCATCATCTCCACCAAGCTCACTCTCTTCTCCGCATCCTCTTCAAACCCATAATTCTCTATCCCAAACTGCTCCGCCAACACCTTCCACAAATGCTTCCACTTGAACACATCCCCATTCACTATGTTAAACGCCTCGTTCTTGGCGTAAGGATCCACCGCTGCCCATATCTGATGCTCCGCGATCAGGTCAGCATCCGACGAATCCGAGTAACAGTTCCAAGAAGCTTTCGTCCCCGGGAAAATCAGAGGCAAACCCTCGTGCTTACATATGGCGGCGTAGACGCAGAGTGATCCAATCGCGTTCATCATGCTGTAGGGAGAGAACCCCCAAATTTGATTGGGCCGGTGTACGGACCACGACAACCCTTCCCTTTTCCCGGCTTCTTCGTAGAGGATGTCTTCCATTGTGTAGTAGAAATTGGGGGAATTCAACCTCGGGAGATCTTCTGTGAAAGGGGAGTCGTGGGGTTCGATTTTGCCGAACGATTCAAAGGATCCGGCGTAGTGTTTCCCGCCGGTCTGAAGGCAAATATGCTGGAGATTCGGCGCGTTGGGAACGACGGCGGCGAGGAGGTTCTTCAACATCTTGCCATTGATCTCGCAGTTCTCTGCCTCGGTGGGGCGGTTGGCCCACGTTACGTAGAAGATGTGGGTGACGTCGGAGAGCGGGGAGAGCTTCGAATCGACGTCGGAGGCGTCGGCGATGTCGCACTGGATGTACTCGATTGGGTGGTCGGAGTTCCAATTTGGGCGAGGACGGCGAGCTACGCCGTAGACCTTCCATGGCCCACCGGGAGTGTCGGCGAGAGGGAGGATCTCCGCCAAGCTGTTGCCCACGATTCCGGTGACGCCGACCACTAGGGCCACGCTCTGGTAGCTTCGCGGCGGCTCATCTTCATCGAGCTTCTTCTGCAGGGGAAAAGATAAAAACCCAAATTGGAGGCGAACCCAGTTTCGAAATGGTAAAAAGCGGAACTGGGTTGAAGAAATTGAGATCAATTAAAAGGTTAGCACAACAGATTACCTTAGCGGCTCCAATGGCGCCAGCCCACCACCAGCTCATTCTTTCGGATGGAGGATTGGGGAAGCGGGAAGAAAGGGAATTTGGTGTTTATAGGCTTCACGGCAACTGTAATATCGATTCGGTGGCGCTGATGCTCCGCTGAATTATCTTCTTCCTGTGCCCTGTGAGCTGAGATTGATCTGAATTATCATCTCCAGTAGTTGGAAAATGGGGAAAAGAGATGAGTAATAATCAGAGATTCAAGAGGGTTCTTCGTCTTTTTCCATTTTAGGAGCATAATAATAATTCAGAATCACATCAGAGGACCGACGGCTATGCGTTGTGTGGTTGACGGATGAGTTGAAAGGGACAGCCTGTTTCTTGTTGCATGCATTATCTAATTCGCTCTGTGACTGATAATTGGTTCTTGGTTCTGGAAACAGAGGAAAAACCACTCCCTTGCTCGCACACTTCGGCCGAAGCTAGCAAGCATTTAATGGGCCTGAATTGAGGCGGGCTTGGCAGGTGATTGCAAAGAAGGCCCAATAAATAATAACACTACCTGAGAACCTTTCTCGGTCGCTGGTCCCACTACGGCAAGTTGTGCGCTGGGCCCAAACACCCAGCCATCCCCCGGAAATATCTCCTTACTGGGCCCCAATGTCTCCATCCGTGCATGGAGGGCCCAAAGTGGTTTGTTCCACACCGCCAACATTTCTCACTTCACTTCACTTTCTTCCGAGATTCGACAACCCAGACAGTAACATGGCAAGAACATTAGGAAAAAATCCCATAATACTCAAATTATTAAAAAAAATTCCCTAAATACAGTAATTGTAAAATTAATTCCCAAAGTACAGCAGTTTCAACATCACTGTCTTAGACAAAGACAGTGATACTAATCACCGCTTTAGTTTAAAACAGTGAAACATCGGGGAAGATATCACCGCCTTCGACAAAAGCGGGGAACATATCACCACCTTCGACAAAAGCGGGGAACATATCACCGCTTTTGACAACAACGGGGAAGGAATCACCGCTGCTGTCAAAAACAGTGATTGCCTCACCGCTGTTGTGCAAAACGGTGATATTTACCACGTTTTAGAGCCCTGGTAGGTGGAAAATTAGGTAACAGCGACCTAGCTATCACCGATTTGAACTAAGGCGATGATGTGTTCACCGTTGTTGTCTGCAGCGGTGATTAGCTGGATCTTTTCCCTATAAATTCCAACCCCCACGCCTCTCCTGCTGCCTTACAACAAAGTAGTACAAAAATTAGTGTTTTTTGGTCATTTTCTCAATTGGTTTAGAGTTGGTTTACTACTCAAGAAACTCATCCGAATTCGGTATGTTATAATTATGAATTGTTTACAGGTTGATGTATTAGTAATTATTTGTCTGTATTTAGTGAATTGCGGTTATTGGCAAATATGTTATGAGTATTTAGATTAATTATGAAATGATAGTTGTTAGTTAGTTAGTTAGTTATGAATTTAGATGAATTTGTTTAGTTTTCTCATAATAGATTAATTAGTTACATTTTATTATGGGTTTGGATGATATTGTTTTTGTATCCATAATGTACTAATTATATACTATACTTAATTATTATAAATTGCAGACATGGGTAAATTTAAGAAGTTTCGGCTTATTATTGGTGGAATGGTCGGGTGATAAACTCGAACATTGGGATCGACTATGAAAATGGCGAATCCAGTATGCTTAAAATTGAGTCGAGATTCTCGTGGCAAGAACTCCATGACATTTGTGCAGAAAGGACTTGTACGGGCGGGCAAAGGAGAGTTCGTCAAATTACTTACCGGTATCCCAACATGAGTGCTGACGGAATCATGTACGAAAAAGTTGTCATAAATGATGATGACGCGGTGAACATGATGATACAGTAAATATATGAGAACGGGGTGCGGCTTGCAGAGGTGTATGTCGAGACCGAGCCGGTCGGTGAAACTCATTTTCACCAGTATTCTTATGATGATGGTTTTGCAGGAGGGTATGGCTGGGGAGGTACTTCAAGCAACTACGGAGGAGGTAGTTCTGAAGGAGGTGTTGGGTGGGAAGAATACCCGCAACATGGTGAGACTGCCGTCGATATCGTTCAGCCCGACGGTGATCAATGGCCTGCTTGGGGTCTAGAGTGGGATAACATTGAAAACACCCTTCGATCTGGGCGTACTTCACATGACCAAGAAGACGATGCTGGTTATGCTGGTAACGATGACCATCCTGAGCCAAGCTATCCATTCGCCTCCAGTGACGATGAAAGCGAGGAAGATTTGAGATCAGTTAGTGAGGAGGAAGATACGGACGATATCGACGATATCGATGACAAAGAGGTGGCGTTCCGTCAGGCACCAACGCCTTACTACACAGAGGTTCCTGATCAATTTTTATATGGTCAGAACGATGCCCCTGACTTTCGGCCCATGCCTGTGTATAATCCGACTGCGTGTTTGGAAGTGGGTATGGCGTTCTCTTCGAAAGCCGATGTGCAAGATGCTTTTAGCGAAGAAGCCATGTGGCGTAACTTCAAATGGAAGGTAAAATATTCTGACACCAAACAACTGCATGTCATTTGTAAGAATGCTGGAGAGGGTTGTATGTGGCAACTTCGGGCTGCATATATGAAGAAAAAGGGCGTCTAGGTCATGCGGACAGTAGAGAACAACCACAGATGCTATTCAACCATACTTTCACAGGATCACCGGCAACTTAAAGCAAAAAAAAGTGGCAAGAACCATTAAGCATCTAATCGAGGCACAACCAGATATCAAGATAAAAGCTATCATGGCCGAGATGAAGGATCGACATTCCTACACCATAAGGTATAAGAAGGCGTGGCATGGGAAGCAGAAGGCCATGGCTGAGGTCTACGGTGATTGGGAAGACTCGTATGCTTTACTCCCTATACTAATGTCCGCAATGGAGGAGTCCAACCCTGGGACGGTTTTCGTGCCGTGGTACAACAACGTACAAACTGAAGATCAAGTTCGAGTACAGAACGAGTTGATGTTTCATCGCCTGTTCTGGACATTCAAGCCATGCATTGACGGGTTTCCCTTCTGCATGCCAGTGATTCAGGTATATTACGAACTCAAAATATTGTACTATTTCATTACTTTACTAATTTCAATTTTTACTAACTCATTATCATTTAACAGGTTGATGGAACTTTCCTTACTGGGAAGTATAAAGGAACTCTTCTTATTGCCACTGGGGTTGATGGAAATTTAAGTATTTTTCCCTTAGCATTTGCATTAGTTGAAGGGGAGAACAACCTAAGTTGGGTATGGTTCTTTGACCAGCTACACGCCCACGTCAGACAAAGAATGGGTATTACAATTATATCGGATCGACATGCCGGGATTAAACACGCCGTTGGTGGTTTTCCCGACGAATGGGGATGGACATGGCGCTGGTGTATTCGTCACTTCCTAGCCAATTTCCAACACAAATTTGGCAAGAAGAAAGACATAAGAGATCAATTGTGGAGTGCAGGTAGTAATGTAATTCAGTGCTTGTTCATGGTTTATTGTTCAAATGAAATTTCTTATGACTTAATTATTAATTCTCCGGTCTTGTAGCGGTTGCACATCAATCAAAAAAGTACGAGCAGAAGATGAAGACGATCCGTCAAATACACCGGGCGGGAGCAATATGGGCAGAAGGTCAAGATCTGCACATGTGGACATTTCACATGGACAACGGGGCTAGATTCGGAATTGCAACTACCAACCATGGCGAGAGCATAAATGGAGTCTACAAGGGCATTAGGGCAATGCCTGTATCTATCCTAGTGGTGATGACATACTGGAAGGTAAACGAGTGGTTTGTGAAGAGACGGGATGCTGCTATAGGGAGGGAGCGTGCTGGTCATTCAATAGCACATCATATATTTGATGGCATGCAGAAGATTGAAGAGAAATCAAGTAAGCACAGAGTTGTTCTGTTCAACCGCAATGAAGGTATTTTTGCTGTGCAAACAGGTATTTGGGGTGGAGGAAGACGTGGGCATAATTGTCAATCCGTTACTCTACACGTAAAAACTCGCACCGGAGAGTGTACATGCCAAAAGTATCAAAACAGAAGAGTACATTGTTCACATGCAGTGGCAGTAGCTAAGTCGATAACCCTCAGCGCTTACAGTTTGGTTAGTCCTTACTACACGGAACAGGCGATCAGGAACTCCTACTCGTCAAGTTTCAGCCCTCTGCCGGATGAAGCTTATTGGCATGTAGACAATGGGAAGTTGATTATCCCACCGTTGCACTTAAAGCGCACCAAAGGTCGTCCTAGGACCGAAAGGATTCACAATGAAATGGATCAATCACAATGTGCCCGACGGGGTCCAAAGCGTTGCTCAAAGTGCAGGCAACCGGGTCATGACAAGAGGCGTTGCCCAGGTCCACCTCTAGAGCAAGATTCGGGGCCAATTCCGAACCAACCTTGATGCTGCTGTTGTTCACTTCCTTGTCATTTTCGTTGTTGTGATGTTTAAGTTGGACTTCTTGTTTTAATCTTGTTGAGTCATTTTCGTTGTTGTGATGTTTAAGTTGGACTTGTTGTTTTAATCTTGTTGAGTGATTATAATAAAGGGCGTTTGTTGTTTATTTTGGTACAACATGGGCGGTAAAACTAAACAAACCCAAACCAAATTTAGACGACATAGGTAGTTCATGGAAAACAACACAATCCCAAACCAAATATAGAAACATAGGTAGTTCATGGAAAACAACACAATCCGAAACCAAATTTAGACGACATAGATAGTTCATGGAAAACAACACAATCCGAAACCAAATTTAGACGACATAGATAGTTCATGGAAAACAACACAAGACCTAACTAAATTAGAACGGCATAGATAGTTCACTGGTTTTCTTCATTTCCCTTCACTTCCCCTTCTCTTCCTCTTCCTCTTCCTCCACGACCTCCTCGACCCCTTCTTCCGCCCTCTCTACCTCCTCCTTCTTCACGAGCCCGCTGGACAACTGCTCGCGGATTCCTCTTAACCCGACCACCCACCGGAGTGTAGACAGGTGGTGGGGGTGGAGGTGGCTGAGATGGACCAGAAGCGTGGTAGAAAGTCGATGATGTATGTTGTTGTTGCGTGGTCTGATACTGAGTAGTTTGTTGCTGATGGTGGAAGTGAGGGGTGCCTTGGGTGAACATGTCATGTTCCTGAGTCGGGGCATAGCTTGACGACCCTCCGGTGCCCTCAATACTAGTAGCCCACTCACAATGTGGCCATGGTTCAGGAAGTTGAGTTTGTTGAGACGGACGAAGCTCTTCATGTTTTCTCTCACCCTTCTTCTGCTCCTCCGTGGGGGCTCTTGTGGGGGCACGATCCTCTCATCAGCACGGAATGAAGGTCGGGCCGGAGCAGGCATTGGAGGGTATAATACGACATCCCTCCTTTGCTCTCGGGTACAACAGAGCAGGTTGTTGAAAAGCCTGCGCAAAAAAAATGTCTTCCGCTCATCCATGGTGGGTGCACTCTCGACAGTGTGCTTGGCATGTTCCAAACCGTCAACCTAATAAATTTTTGTACAAAATTAACTAACATTAAATCTAATAATGATCCTCAAATCTAATAATGTTAATTAACATTCTAGCTAATATAGGCATGTAATCATACTACAAAAATTAAAACAAAGAGCCCAAAATGGAATTCACTTACCACTAGGAATGGCAATGGTGCAGGTCCGGGGCGGGTTTCTTGGTACCCAGACCCGCCCCGTGACAGGTCGGGTCCAGGTCGGGTAATTGATCACGGGTCGTGGGTCGGGGCAGGTCGACCCAATGGGTATGCAATTTATATGAAAAACATTAGAAATATTCGTTATTTTTATTATAAGACTAAGAAAAAAATAATATTATGACAATTGTAGTTAAATTATTGGAGAAATTGAAGTTTTTACTCATTTACAACTTTATTATAGCTAAAATATGATGCAATAAAAGGAAAATTCTAAGTAATTTGACTAAGATTACATGTAATTTAGACAAGAACGGGTCGAGAATGGGGCGGGTCAGGGCAGGTCGGGTCGATGAGACTACCCATGCCCGCCCCGCCCCGCCTACGGGGCGGGTCGGACCCGCCCCAAAACAGGTCAAACAGGTCGGGTAAAACGGGTCAGGTCGAAATTGCCATCCCTACTTACCACTGCTCCCCAAATAGCACCTTGCTTTGACACCCATCTTAGCGTGAAGTTCCGATACCACCGCATGTAGCCATCGTGGTACCCCATTGGCCTCGTCTCCGGCACCCCTTGGACCACCCACTGATTTCTATTCTCCCATATGTTGATGAATTCATGCTTGCGGGTCCAATCCTTTTTGGTGTAGCGTAGGTCAATGGCGTGGAGCTCCCTGAACCTTTGAGGTGGGGATGCTGGAATTGGTTGCTCCAATCGATATTGCCTCAAAGATCGATCGGGCAGGTGTCATTCCACCATGTGACAGCAGATTAAGGGCACCTTGCACAACCATGTCTCTTGATCCTCGGGATGTCTAAGACGATGCAACTCAATCACTTCATTTGGATATGGATCCCATACCGCCTACAATCATTATAATTCATGGAATTAGTAAAAATTATATCCACTCCACCTAAAAAATTGAAAATCATGAAATTTTATATTTTTACCTGGTTCCACCAAGGCTTATCAAATTCAGCACGATAAAACAGTAAAGAGTGCTCGGGCTGGTGGTCTTTTGTATTTGCTCCGATCCACCTAATTAAACAAAAGTACGTATATAAGCAATTTTTAAAGCATAGATGTTTACTTGTTAAGTATGATTGTATGGAAGCATCTAAATTGAAATCAAATTCCTTACTTGGCAATAATCTAAATTAGCTAAATACGATTTGGTTAGAATAAATCTAAATTCGCTTACTTGGAAGATATCTAAATTCACTAAAATACTATAATTGCAGACTTAAAATGTCTCTAAATTCGCTTAGTTGGAAGATAGCTAAGTTCACTAAAATACTATAATTGCATACTTAAAATGTCACTAAATTCGCTTACTTGGAATAGATCTAAATTCACCTAACTAGCTACCATTGCATATCTAAAATAAATTCAACTTAAATTGAACTTACTTGAAACCATATGAGGGATTTGCTACAAATCGTAGCTCATCATCTGGCAACCAGAATTCCCGAGGGTCTCGAGGTGCGAGAAACGGAAGATGCTCCCATGCCCAGAGCTGGAGTATGAACATCGCACCACCAGCTTGTTTCGCTCCCAACCTCGAGCAAGTACACAACTCTCGGTAGATCCCATCCAAGACGGCCGACCCCCAACTTTTTTTTCCGATCTCGTCCCAGTCACCGAGGAGCATAGGAAACCACATGCCTTGTATCCACTTATTTGACTTGTCGGGGAACAGAAACCCACCAACCAAGCCAATTAGGTAGACACGTGCATACCGCTCCACCTGATCTTCAGGAATATCCGGGCCTATATTAACCTCCAACTGGATGTGGTCAACAAGCCACGGGATCGATACTTGCCCCGCATTCAGTGGTGGATGCCCCTGACCTTCGACGGGCGTGGTGGTCGGCATGTTGAACCCCAAACGTTGTTGAATCAATAGCCCCCAACCATCTTCTGGTTTTCTCGAGTTGTCGATGATGGCATCTCCGGTGATCGGGAGCCCGGTGAGGATGGCAACATCTTTGAGGGTGATCGTCATTTCACCCTCGGGAAAGTGGAAGGTATGCAGCTCAGGGCGCCATCGCTCTACCATTGCCGTCAGCAGATCGTTGTCAATATCAAGCCTCATAAAGTGCCTCACCATGTGCAATCCCGTCCTCTCTAGATAGGACCGCAGTCGAGGATGCCAACGGGGCAATAGACATGTCCCTCGATGACTGATGGGAATAAGTGATTCCTACAAAACAAAAAACACAATATTGTCAGTCAATAGAAAGCAAAATAAAAACTTAGAAAGCAAAATAAAAACTTTAAAACTATTGAAATAATTTTAGTGTGTCTACCGGATTATTGTTCCAAATTGAACGGGAGCGATGTTGATCTTGCCCGGTTAAATACCTTCGATCCCTTGGGCCAGGATCGATATACAATCTAGGGTCGTATATCTCAGCACCCATCTATAAAAAAATATGAAATCAAATCAATTTAAATTTTAGCACCCATGTAAAAAAAATCACAAAAGAATAAAATAAATTTACGTACTCTCAAAGCCTCTTCGTCCATTTTTTGCCGAAAAGCTAGCGAGAGTATCGACAAAACAAAAACTCTAGTAATTCTTTCTGATACGGAAGATCGGACTTAGCCGCAACCACAGAGCATACTTAAAACGAAACTAGAGTGAAGTAATGGAGGGAGAAAGAAGTATAAAATGGTGGTGTGGTTTGGAATGAGGGGGGGGGGGGTATTTATAGGGTTTGGGCGCTGGAAAAGAAACACAGCATTAATCAACGCGTCAAAGAAACACAGTGAAATCACTGCGTCCAACTAACGCGGTGATGGCCCGGATCGGTGACGTGGCGGCATGTGAGGCGTCGGATTGTGGAGAAAAACCACAATCCGCGCCTCACCGCATCGAACGGCAGCGGTGAAGGCGCGGGTGGGGCGGATCGGTGACGTGGAAAGCGGGGCTATCACCGCTTTAGTCATTAACGGTGAAGTGCCCGCGCGCGTCCACGTCAGCGATCCGCGCCACTTCACCGCTTTTGATACCACCGGTGAAGATCACTTCACTGCGTCCCTTATCAACGGTCATATGATCACTGTTAATCTCCACAGCGGTGATAGCATCACTACTTTCGTCAAAGGCGGTGATGTATCATTGTTTTAGACCAAAACGGTGATCATAATCACTGTCTTAGACAAAGACAGTGATGTTGAAACTGCTGTACTTTGGGAAATAATTTTATAAGTACTGTATTTAGGGAATTTTTTTTAATAATTAGAGTATTCTGAGATTTTTTCCAAAATATTAATATTGTCATCGATCGGCTAAATTTCCAATTAATATGATTTGAATCGGATTATTCACTTGAAGTCACAAAGTCTGGTTATAATCTGTAATCTCCTTAAACGTTTTAAAAGAAAAAGTCTCAAACCTCCCCAACTACATAACTTGTTTGCATTCGTATTTATGGCAAGGATCCATCCCATCTTCTTAACGTCACGCCCATTCAGAAAGCTCAGTTTCTTCCCTCCCATTCCGTCTCAATAACTTCCCATGCTTCCGTATCCGGAGATACCCATCAAACTATTTATTTCTCACCATCCCATTCCCACTCGCAACTCCCAAGAATGTCTACTGGTTCTCTCCGATCTAGAATCGATTCAAACCGGTATGAACCAACAAACCCAGAAACATGGTTCGACTTCTGCAAAACATGTTGACGAATGCAGAACTTATTGGCTAATGGCTACCAGTTGAGTTCGGAATCAAAGCTTTGATCGGTTATTGTTAGCATCTTCTTCAAGAGATGAATGCACAAGCTCTAGATGGAACAAAGATACACAAATGGACTATTTGGCCTACAGACCTGGAACTTTTGACATTTGATGTATGAAGATTGATGACTGACTCTAGGCTCTAATCTATCTACAAATTCAAAAGAGACATTTTGGTCCAACGCCCAAAACTTCCAGAAACCAGCTAAAGCCCCCTACATTCTTCTGCTTTGCCGTCCTACTAATCTGTTAAGCCACTACTAGAACTTTTCCCTTCTTCCCTAATCATCCATTGTCCACCGAACATTGTTCTCAGTACCACCTTCTTGATCTCTCTCCAGTGCAGCAACTCTGGTCTGATAGCCTGCAGGAGCCATGGCAGGTTTTACCACCCTCTGAGTATGAGGAAGCTCGCAGGTTTCACTTACGGAAGCAAATCTCAACTCAGCAGGAGGGATAAAACAGTCCATCGACAGTCCAGGAACGTTGAAGGCTACTTCCTCGATTACCCAAGCTTCTTCCATTCGGGTCCGGGTGTGACTCATTGCTGTATCTCCAAACCTGAAGAGGGTTACAACCGAACGACCCGAATGAGCGATCATGACTCCGTCCACTGGTCTGTAATCGTCGAGGAAGGAGTTGATTGTGGTCTCCCAGTAGACAGCATCACCGCCATTGTTCTGGATTCGAGTCAAGTGGGAGTCTTCCAGGTGAACAAGGAGGCCCGTTTTCTGGCTGAAGTAGCCAAAGAGAACATGCCTAATTATCTCTGCCGGTCCTTCGCTTCTAGCCTTGAGAGTTGCAGGATCAGCACATATCTTGAGGATGAAGCAGTCATCATCGTTGATCTTCTTTTCTCCGATGCATCTCGCATTAGTGAACATGCTTGCTGTTGTTCTTGGGTCGAGACCCTGTGTAAGAAAATTGATTTGAAATCATTAACTACTATCAGACCGGGGCATTTCAAGTGCAGCAATCGTGATCAATGAAATGGTGAAGCTGCCATTTTCCCTTACCTGTAATGCACGGCGCAAGGGTCTAACAGGGCCTTTTGCAGCATGCGGACCGAGCCAGGGTGTGTGCCTCCAGACAAGCTTCCCATTGCAACCGGCATGAACTTTACTTCCACCAAGTGCTAGCTCCACATACCACATGTCGGGATTCATTTGCCACAGGACAAAGCCACCAGATTCAGCAGTTTTAGAAGAGCCCCTATTCTTGGTCACCTTGTTGGCTGTCTCAAACTCTGAAGCAATCATCCTCACTTTTCCCATAGCATAAGCATTGTGGATTGAACCTTGAAGCCTCTGTCCTCCCGAGGCAGCCGTGTACTGCTGCAATATGTACTGTGCAGAGGAGGTTTCCTGCATTACAATCAGACAAGAGTCACACTTCAGTATTAGAAAAAGAACGAAAATTCAACATTGGACCACAGAGAAAATAAACCAAACCCAAATGATCAATCTATTCAAGACTCAAAGGGATAACTCAGATCATTGTCTCCTTCAGCTATGCAAAACAACAGCTTTTGGAGGGGGCCAATTAAAGCTCCATTTTTTATTTTCCAGAAAAGAGAAATCCTCCAATTTTTCATACCTAACAAAAACCAGCTACCAATTGAAGCCATCAGAATGTAGAAAGACTAGTAGCCATGGTCATAAGCATGCTGGAATACAAACAAACAGAAGGGATCCATCAGAGTGATGACAACATGCACTAGAACAAAGGGGATCTTTACTCTCTAACTCTTCAAGCTATTGTTAACAATTAAAATATCATGTCAAGAATCAATACCAACAAACCCATTTTACTGTTTAGCCTAATTGAAGAAGCCTACAAAACATTGACAAGACAGAAATTAAAGATTGTGGGTCGCTCATCATTCCATTAATATGACTCAACCAACCCAAGTCAAATGAATGCAGAAGGCATGGGCAAATTCAGGCAAATTGGGGAAAGTACACTACGACCACCAACCATCAGATTGATTCACAACGAATTGCAGAACGAGAAATCGGAAAATGGGAAACGAATTGGGGGAAAAAGACTAACAATTGGAGTGTCCTTTATGCTTAGGTGAGGCAACGGTTCAGAACTGCTGACATGAACGGGAGCCAACGGAGCACCCAACACGCCGAGAAGCAATCTCAGATCAGCCCTTTTGCAACCATCCACCGACGACGACGCTGCCGACGGCGCTCTGGCGAGTGGACCTTTCATCCACTGGCGACCCCACCGACCTTCCGCCCTGCTGGAATCTCCAACGCCGTCTTGATCCGGCCCTTCCATCAAAGGCGAAAGAGCCTCCGGGGGGCGTAAACTCCCCGATCTCGCGATCATAAGCGGCTCCGGCTGCGAGACGCGTTGTCCGTGGCCCTTCCTCCGACGCAAGAGACTCGACATTGGCGACGCACTCCTGGCGGGGCTCTTTGCACGCGACCTGCTCGGCGAAAGTCCTCTGATGACTTCCCCTTTCAAAGCAGAGAAGAACCCTTGTTTTCGCTCCATTTCTTTAGCGGATTTCCGCCGCTAGGAGAGGCGGTGGCGAGTGATCAGGGGGTCAGTGGGAAAATGGAGGAATGAATGCTCTGGTGCTTGAGCAGAAAACAGAGCTAACTGAGAAGGTAACGAGTAAAGAGACTGAGTGAGAGAGAGAGAGAGAGAGAGAGAGGGGAGAGTGACAGTGACAGTGCCTGGAAGATAAAGCAGTCTTTTTTTAGGAAAAAAGAAACTAAACAGAGAAAGATAAAAAAGACTAAAGCGTGTTGTCTGATAATTAATTAATTAAAATAAAATGTTGTATAGCAAATCTAATTGTTAATTATTAGTAAACTAACCACTAAAGAATACAAATTAATTTGTTAATTATTACGAGACTGCACACCAAGTACATCTGGATTTGTGATTTTGTGATTTGTTAATGGTAATGGGCAATGGGTCTCAAACTTTCGTTGAATGGACGAGTCAAGTTTGGAGTGGATAGTGCTTAATTTGTGCCCCGTTCTGCTCTCTAATTCCTAATGTGTTTTGTTATGCGCTTTACGATGGATCGCCAATATTTTCCCGTAATTAAAATTCTATTAAGCACAATTGATTAATAGATCAAGCCTCCAAAAAATAGGGACCATGTCCACAATTGTGACTACGTCTCAGTCAACAATGACTAAAACCAATCTACCAAATTATGGTACACTTTGCAACTCTATAATTGAACTTTGCTCCATACACTTAGCCACCAGTTTACCCCTGTTGCATCCACTGTCGTTCGAAACCAAAACCAACTTCTTATCTTCTATAATTTCTTCCGGATCCACGACCCTAGTCTTGTAAGATACATGTATCAAATAGAACGATCATTCTTGTCTA